TATTTAGGTCAGAGAACAACTCTGAGAATTCTCTCTTTGCACCATGTGGTTTCCAGGGATCCAACTCAGGCCATCTGGTTTGGTAGCAAGTGCCATTGCTGGCTCAAGCCATCTAATTAGCCCCTAAATTAAATTATTTTTTTATGTGTATGTGTGTTTTGCCTGCATTTTAAGTGTACCTGTGTCATGCAATTCCCATGGAGATCAGAACAGGGCATTGGATCCCTTGGAACTGGAGTTATGGATGGTTGTTAGCTACCATGTAGTTTCTGGGAACTGAATGATGGTCTTCTGCAAGAGCAGCCACTGTTCTTAACTGCTGAGCCATCTCTCCAGCCCCCTTTTTAATTTTTATTTTTATTAGATGTGTATGAGTGTTTTTCCTGTGTGTATGTAAGTGCACCCATTCATGCAATGCCCATGGAGGTCCAAAAAGGGGGTCAGATCCCCTGGAAGGGGAATTAAGGATAGTTGTTAGCCTCCATGTGGGTGCTGGGAACAAAACCCAGGTCCTTTGCAAGAGTAGCCAGTGCTCTTAACTGTTGAGCCATCTCTCTGGCCCCTAAAATTTTTTATTGCTTCATGGAAAGTGGACAGGGCTTGGGATTTAAATGACTAATCAACAATTCTCTCCTCTTGGCTTCCCAAATATCTTAGAGAGAAGAAAGTTCTGTGGAGCTCCTAGGTGAGCGAGTCTTCTGGATATAGGTCTAAAGGAAGCTAAGTCAACACAAACGGAAAAATCTGAATATCTGGGTGTTTTTTTTTACAGCCTGGCTCACAGCAGCCAACGCTAGAACCAGCCAGGTGACCATCAACAGATGTGTGCATGAAGAAATGTGATATACATACTCTCTGTCTTACAGTTATAAAGAGGAAGGAAATTATGTCACTTGCATAATGGTTGTAAATGGAGCTCATCATGTTAAGCAAAATGAGCTAAATCAGAAGACAAATAATGCATGCTTTCTCAAATATGAACAATCTTATATATGCACATATACAACACACAAATACAATATGTGAATGACATGCTTGTCGCATATATATATCTTTATATATACATATGTATGACATGAAAGTAGAATGGGGGCTATGAGGAGGAAGGGGGTGGGGAAGGAAGGGAAATGGGGGCAAATATGATCACAGTACAGAGATATACAAGAAAATGTCATAAACATTGATAGTTACTTTTTGTAAAACAAAAGCAAAAACAAAAACAGGCTGGGCCTGGTAGCACATGCCTGTATTCCCAGCACTCTGAAGCAGAAGCAGGCTGATCTCTGTGAGTTCAAGGCCAGCCTGGTCTACATAGCAAGTTCCAGGCCAGTCTGAGCTATATAGTGAGACCCTTTTTCAAGCCCCCTTCCCCCACCAAAGAAAAGCAGGTGATAATGGCTGTCAAGTGCCAACTGTCTTAAGTGCCTGTGAAGGTCAGAGACAGGGCAGTCCAGGAAAAGGGCAGGGTCAAGGACAGCTGTCCTGTGTCCCACCTTAGCAGCTGCCACCTCCAAGCATTCAGTTACTGCTAACTTCACCCATATAAAGGGCATGTGGGGTTTTTGTTGTTTTGGTTTAGTTTTTTGAGACTGTCTCCCTGTAGCCCCAGCTGGCCTGGGACTTGCTATGTAGACCAAGTTGGCCTAATTTCACAGAGATCTACCTGCCTCTGCCTCCCAAGTACTGGGATTAAAGGCCTGTCTTCCCCACCTCCTTTTTTTTTAGGGTGGAGAACACAGGCCACATATTTATTGTATTGTATGAATGAGAAAGAAGAGAGCCACCCCTTTTTGAGACAGGGTCTCACCATATAGCCCAGGCTGACCTCAAACACATGACAATTCCCTTGCCTCAACCTCTGAATGCTGGGATGGCAGACATGCACCATCATGCCAGGCTGGGGTAAGTTCCATCAGTCCCAACTCTGCTGGTAAACACTAGAAGTCTACCTTTGCTGAGCAGGGTAGGCTGGGTGTGGAGGGCCAACAGGACTGTTAGATCTGTCTTAATCGAGTTGAGAAGTGGAGAGAAGGCTGACATCTTTAATCCCAGCTCACACCTTTAATCCCAGTACTCAGAAAGCAGAGAGGCAGCTAGCTCTTTGTGAGTTCAAGACTAGCCTGGTCTACATAATGAGTTCCAAGCCAGTCAGGGCTACATCTTGTCTCTCAAAAAGCAAATAAACAAACAAAATGCAGATGAAGTCTGAGAGTGTGACTCAGTTAACAGAGTACTAGCATACACAAAGACCTGGGTTCTAGCCCCCAAATTGCATAACCAGGTATGATAGTGCAAGCCTGTAATGCCAGCACTCAGGTAGTGGATGCAGGAGGATCAGAAGTTAAAGGCTGGGGCTAGAGACAACTTGGCAGTTAAAAGCACATGCTGCTCCTGCAGAGGATCTGGTTCAGTTCCCAGTACCCACATGGCAGCTCACAACTGTCTGTGACTCCAGTTCCAGGGGATCCAATGCCATCTTCTAGGCTTCGCGAGTGCCAGGGATCCATGTGGTATAATACATACACAGAGGCAAAAACACTCATACACATAAGGCAAATAAAAATAAAGGAAGTTAAAGTTCATTCTTGGTTATCTAGTGGGTTTGAAGACTGGGCTGAGACCCTGAGACCCTGACTATAAAACAGAAAAGAAGTAGAGATGGGTGAAATGCGATGCTGGTGGCATAACAGCTTTTTAAAAGTCATGTTTATCAAAGCATAGCTTTTATGCAATAAAATTTGCCCTTTTAAGATTTCATTTTTATTTTTAGCCATATGTATGCATATATATCTCTGTGGGGGAAATGTGCACAGTTTTTCAGTTGCCTGAAAAAGCCAGAAGAGGACGTTGGATCTGCTGGAGCTGGATGTACAGGTGGCTGTGAGCTGCCCAACATGAGTGTTGGAAACCCAGTTCAGGGCTTCTATAAGAACAGTGTGTATTCTTAACTGCTGAGTCATCTCTCCAGCCCTAAAATTTACCCTTTTAAATGTACTGTTCAATTTTTTTTGACAAAAGTAACACTTTAACAAAGTCTACACTCAGGATATAGGATGTTTCTGTCAGTCTCAGAAGGGCTTTGTGTCCTACCCCTGCCCCTGGATGCTGCTTATATAATTTCTACCCCTGTAGCTGCCTCTTCAACAATGGCATACAAGCAGACTTCTCAGAAGATGCTGCTTTGGACTGACTTCCTTCACTCAGCATAAAGCTTTTGCTCCATCTGTGAAGATGCGTACTTCAGTTCTTTCTTTTTCTTTTTCTTTTTTATTTAATTTTATGTGTATGAGTGTATTGCCTGCATGTATGTGAGTGCACCCATGTCATGCAATGCCGCGGAGGTCAGAAGAGGGCTTCAGATTCCCCTGGAACTGGAGTTAAGGATGGTTCATAGCTGCCATGTGGGTACTGGGAATCGAACCTGGGACCTCTGCAAGAGCAGTCAGTGCTCTTAACTGGTGAGCCATTTCTCCAGCCCCCAGTTCTTTCTTCTTATTAGTTCCAGCACAGGGATGGTTTGTTACCCATTCACTAGTTCTTGGCTCCTATGAAATACAGATGCTAGAGCATTTGTGTACAGGTTTTTGTGTGGGCATGCATTTTCATTTCTCTGAGGTAAATATCTCAGAACTGATATAGTGAGTCATGTGGTGATTTCATGTTTACTTTCATGACATTTTTTGAAAGGTCAAATTGTTTTCCAGAGTGGCTATACAAAAATATGCATGCTTACTAGCCATGCATGGCTGTTCTAGTTGTCTTGTACCCTTACCAGCACTAGGTGTTATCATTTGTTTTATTTTTATCATTATCATTATTATTATTATTATTATTATTATTATTATTATGTGTGCGCATGTGTGTGCATTTATGCATGTGTGTGGCGGCCAGAGGTCCTCAGGCATTGTTAACCTATTTTTAAAAATATTTATTTATTGAGCCGGGCATGGTAGCACATGCCTGTAATTCCAGCAGTCGGGAGGCAGAGGCAGGCGAATCTCTGTGCATTCAAGATCACCCTGGTCTACAAAGTGAGCTCCAGGCCAGCTGGGGCTACAGGGAGACCCTGTCTCAAAAAGACAAAAAAAATTAATTTATTTATATTTTATGTGTCTGAATAGTTTGCCTACATGTATGTAAGTGTACTGTGTGCATGAAATGCTTGCAGAGACCAGAAGAGGGCATTTGATCCTCTGGAACTGGAGTTACAGATGGTTGTGAGCTGCCATGTGGATGCTGGAAACCGAACCCAAGTCCTCTGCAAGAGCAGTCAGTGATCTTAACCACTGAGTCATCTCTCTGACCCCCACCTTTTTTCTTTTTTTGAGTCAGGGTCTCTGACCAATCTGGAACTCACCAAGCTGTGTAGGGAGACTGGCTAGCAAGTCCCAGGAATCTGCCTTATCTCCACCTCCCCAGGTCTGGGATAATAGGTACATGCCATGACACTCAGCATTTTTTTTTTCTTTTTTTGGTCTTTTTGAGACAGGGTCTCCTTGTAGCCCCAGCTGTCCTGGAACTCACTATGTAGACCAGGCTGGCCTTGAACTCATAAAGATCTGCCTGCCTCTGCCTCCCAAGTGCTGGGATTAAAGGCATGTGCCGCCATGCCCCGTTGACATTCAGCTTTTTAAAGTGGGTTCTGGGGATTGAACTCAGGTCCCCAGGAGTCATCTCTCCAGTCTTTATCTTTTGTTTGTAACCATTCTAATAGATATGTAATAGCTCTCGTTATAGTTTTAATTTTATTTATTTTGCCACCAACAGTGTGGAACCATTCAGCTATCTTTGTTAAGTGGTTGTTTAAATGGTTGACCTGTTTTTATCCACTGTGTTGTTTGATTCGTTTATCATTTCTTACATAGTCTACTTAGAAGTAGTTTGTCAGATAAGTATTTTACAAA